GTTAAGACAAAGAGGGATTGATTGATTGATTGTATGTTGTTTTACGTCCTGTTCGAGGATTTTTCACTCATATAGAGACGTCACCATATACCGATGAAGGGCTTCAAATTTAGACCTATACTCGGCACTCAGGGCCATTGAGCAGCAAGGGTTCTTTATCGTGCCAACTCCTACCATGACATGGTACCTCGATTTTTAAGGACACGTGACTTTCACTTCTAGTGCCGGGCGCTCGGCGAAGGAACAGTCACTACCTATGTTTACGTCTTAGGTTCGACGCGGCGAACGACAATCGAACCTCGGCCTCCCGATCACGAAACGAACGCCCTACCACTTGGCTACCGTGATCGGTGACAAAGAAGGGAAAACGACAAAGATCGAAAACAATTGCATAATGCAGAAAAGTCCGATTTCCTGATGGAAGAATATGATTATCATCTGATTTTTTATAACCATTATAATGATTCTTAAGGCTTAAGGTCATCCTATTAGTATATTTTCAAACCAAATGAGTTAGGTCTATCAATATGAAAATATTGATTACCTACAATTCTAATACAAATGAAAATGACTCAATAAAGGTTTCTTTGACATTTATGTCTGATTTGGTACAAATAATTATGACTGTCTTGTATTGTGATATTTACTTCTGTACGACTTTACTAATGCTAAAAAGGTAATTTTCCATTATTTATCATAAACTTTTGTAACTAAGTATACTCGAATGATTTACTTACATTTGGAAAACAATCCTGTTATAATTTTAAAATAACAGTATATAATTTAATTTCGTTTGTATTCTAGCCTCTGATTGGTTAATATCCAAAAAGGAACACAAATTATTTCTGTATAACCTGGTTTGGTATGGGGACCCCCCCCCCCCCCCCCCCGACAACCAGCTGAATCATCTGTATCCATACAATCCTCTCATTTCCAGTCCTCGGGATTCATGGAAAATTCCAGATTTAATAGATGTACCTTTAACTTCAAACAATAATTCGATCTTACCACATGTAAACAAACAACAAGGCTGCTAGGCCTATGTATCAGTTTTTACCTCCCCTCGCTTCCCAACACTTCCGTTACTACGGTTGTATTATTGAGCGGCAAATTTGAACTAGTAAAAAGCAACGAAATTTTACACCCATAGTTATTTAATGATTTAAAAATTAAATTATAAGGAACTAGACTTTGACCCGTGCGTGCACGGGTTGACATTGTTATGAATGCATCCATGTGCATATCGGACATTTACAAAATAGATACATCGACACATTCATATTGTAAGGTACTTTTGAAATAAACAATGAATGTGAATATAATTCTGTTTTTTGGTTTTTTTTGTTTTTAAAATTGGTGCGTAACGGCGTAGCGCAGAATGGGTTTGACCCCAAGTTTAGCTATAAATCAAGTCATGAGTTTGAATCACGCCGGAGCTTACATAAATTTCACCTTTCCAAACAAATTTAATAAAAGAAATTATGGATATTTATTGAAAATATGACAACAACAAAGAGTTGAGCACTGCTGATACGTATCAAGCAAAGTAATGAAAATGAAGAAATGTGCTAAGCTGGTATTTTTACACAATCAGTTATTAAACTAAATGTGTAATAAATATTGTATCAATTTTAACACTGCAGGTCTCAACTTGTTCAAAATATGATCTCAACAATAAAAGAGTTATTAAGCACTGCTTATACATATACTTTATATATACACAGGTTATAGACATGTATATAATCTGTAAAAGCAGAAATGAACATGGACAAATGTGATACACTGGTATTTCTACACAATTTAGCAGATGTGAAGCAGAACAGATTATCTTGCAAATACCCCCCCCCCCCCCCCCCTCAAAAAAAAAACAAAAAAACAAAAAAAAACAAAAACAAAAACAAAACAAAAAAAAAAAAAAAAAACAAAAAACAAAAAAAAAAAACAAAAACAAAAAAACATATGGTTGTTCAAGAGATCATAATAAGAATTAAGAATATCAAATGTACTTTATCAAATATATGATATAAGAAAATGCTCTCATGACTGTGTTTTGATAAAAATTAATGTAATATCCTTGAATTAGTAATATTTTGAATCGATTCGATTAAAACCCAAACCTCGGTTTTTAAATAATTAAGATTCGATTTTTGGAAACAATATGTTTGCTTCATTTGTGTATAAACCTGTTATTGTTATTGAAAATTCGAAATAAATAGTAACCAACTTGAAAGTTTTTTTTTCATCTTTTATGATTCAACAAATGTAATGTGTTTTACTTTTTAGCTCACCTGAGCTGAAAGCTCAAGTAAGCTTTTCTGATCACATTTTGTCTGTCGTCAGTCTGTTCGTCTGTCTGTCCGTCTGTCTGTAAACTTTTCACATTTTCGACTTCTTCTCAATTTCAACCAAACTTGGCACAAAGCATCCTTGGGTGAAGGAGATTCAAAATTGTTAAAATGAACTACCACGCCCTTTTTCAAGGGGAGATAATTAAGAAATATTGAAATTTTTTGATAAATCTTTAAAAATACTCTTCTCAAGAACCATTTGGCCAGGGAAGTTGAAAGTAATGTGGAAGCATCCTCAGGTAGTGTAGATTCTAAATTGTTAAATTCATGACCCCAAGGGGTAGGGTGGGGCCTCAATGGGGGGTTGAAATTTTACATAGTAATATATAGGGAAAATCTTTAAAAATCTTCTCAAGAACCTTTTGTTCAGGAATGTTGAAACTTATGTGGAAGCCTTCTCAATTTTGTTTAAATCTTATCATGACCTTTCATGACCCTTGGGGGTACGGTGGGGCCACAATGGGGGAAAGGTATCCATGGGAGTATTTATAGGAATTTTTTTTATGAATTTTCTTTTCCAAACCTATTTGACCAGAGAGGTTTTCTGAAATGTAAATTCATATAATGTACATTTAAATTTGATGATGACGATCACAGGGGTCATGATAGGGTACAACCACAAAGGGAGAGGGGAGAACAAAATATTTACTGAAAATTTTACATATGAAAATCTTTAGAGAAAAAAGTTAGAATATGTTTCAAAAATTTAATATAAAAAACTAAATTTGTACAGATATTTCTGATTTGTTAAAGCTGTTTGGGTTAGAGTAATTGACCATTAAAATTAGTTGCTCAAGTGAGCGGCGTGGCCCATGGGCCTCTTGTTTATGCTAAGTATAAAATATATGGGGGGGGGGTTACAACTCTTTTTGGATCATACAATATCATTTCCATTTTTTAATTGAAATCATACAATGTAATCAGAAACATTTTAAAATAAATGTTTCTGATTTTATTATTCAGAGCATAATTTTTTCAAAATATTTAGGAGTTTAGCGCAAACTTTAAAGTTTACTGACCTTGACCGATTTTATTTTGGGACAGCCAATGAGAATGCATGGTTAACTCACCCTATATTTTACAAACGATCGATATTTTAGCAGCATTGATAGAATGAACTGTACGGGCCGCAAGGGCTGACTTCAGACTACCTATCAAGCGTAGTTACCGTGACAACCTTTACATATTTTAGACTAGCCTAGAACAGGCTGTCCCTTCTATATAACGTACTGAAGATCAATAACAATAATTGACATATTTCACCCACTTTTTTTAAAGTTAAAGAAATTTTTGGAGGTGAAGTTATAAACCTCAGCAGTGAAGGTAATAGTAAACATGGCGAACAAATTCAAGTTGCAATCATTTAGACACATTTCAATTTGAAAATATCGGTTATATTGACGTTATTTAATTATTTCGATTTATTTCAAAGTTAAGAAATGAAAATAATGTTATTGTAATTTTTGGCTGAAAAAGAATGCCTACTTCACCAAAATGTGATTCTAGCTGCAGTTGTAACACACACACACCCTTTTCCCCTCAAAAAAGCATAAAAGAAAGGAAGGACAAAATAAAATCGGGTAGTTACATTAATATTGCTTCTACGATCATGAGCTTTTTGCCTCCGTTGAGATGGCCAGAGACATAAATAACATAATTATAATAAATGTGTCTCCGAGATGACGAATGATTACCCACGTGGCCACAATATCACATTTGCATGGATAAACTCAGAAACAATAATACAAATACGTGTAAATTTTCATTGGAAATTTGCTGTATATTTTGTTCATATATATTTATGATTTCTTATCAGAGAAATTATAAAATAACAAATATATATCTACTTAGTACAAATTACTTTTGTCTTCTCTGATTTGAACACCGTGATTTAGCGTGAATGCAATGCGCACGCGCAAGATTGTAAAATCCAAAAAATCCAGATGATTTCCGGAATTTTTTGAAGAATTTTCGTTGATTATTAATTAGCGAAGCTTAATTGAGAAAAAATAAAAACAAATTGGTAATCTTCAAGTACTAATGATGTTTAAAATATATAAAACAAAAGACAGTACTCTTCCGATTTATCGGTATTAAAGGCCAAAAATTCGAGTCTATTATTTTAATATACATGTAGTAGTATAGATGACTCTAATTCTTGGCCAAATTATTCGAGTATAACCTGGTTTGGGTCAGTTTACGCTGTTTTATAATCCGCTTCGCGGATTATACAGCGTAAACTGACCCAAACCAGGTTATACTCGAATAATTTGGCCAAGAATTAGAGTCATTCCTAAAATAAAATAAGTTCATCACTATCGTGAATACTCTGTGAATGTAAACTACAATTGGGAACGTTATAAGGAAGTAATTCCTAATGAAATACCATCCTGAACTTTATGAGAAAGTAAAATACTATTTCGAACAAAGAAAATAAGTTAAAAAAATTACTATCGGGAACATTCAATGAAAGAAAATTACTATCAGGAACATTGTCTGAGAGTATATTACTATATGGGTACATTGAAAGAAAGTGAATTAATTTCTGGAAGTTAAAAAAGAACGTTATTCTTAAAAGAAATTATTTATTTTTATCTCTTTCATGTTGCTCAATATATACTTTATTTCAAATTCATCATTTGTTATATACAAAAATCAGTTGTACTCCTCTATAATCGTATTCCACCGTGCATCAATGTCAGATTTTGGTGTTTCCCACAACATATTAATCAACGGCCACCCACGGGTTGCAGTATTAAGGACATAAGTGTTGTTGGGATCCATATAATAGGAGTACGCTCCCATGACCAAGGATTGCGCAATCCTTGCGCAGACGCAGATCTTCATAACCTCCCTCTCTGTGCTATTTAAACTGCGTTCTGATAAATATCCTGCCAGCACATGTCCTCCAACATCTCTTTGGTCCATTTCATGACATTTTATGGTCATGTAGGCAATGCAAATGGCAACATCGAAAACCAAGTAAGACAACACAACGTCATTGAAGTCTATAATAGCTGCTACGTCACAAACACGTGACTCTGGCGGTACATTGTCTTGTCCAGGACAATCTTTTACTATGATATTGCTCTCGTTCAAATCGCCATGAATCATTCCTAATCAAGAAGTGGGGAAATGAAAATATAAGTAACAATTTTCAAGAAATTAATATTGAATATTTCTATAATATATAAAAAGTAATAATCTTTTCTGAAAATGACAATGGCTCGAAATCATGCCACCATTCTCTTTCATGCCTCTGTTTAAAGGCATTGATAGAAGTAGAGGTGATAAAAGAATTACAAAGACTACATGAACAATATGTAATGTTTTTATCTGAAAAAGCATATTACAATATAATCAATTTTTGTTATGTTATTATTACAGCTGTACTCTAGAAGAACTTGGATTTAACTGAATTATTAGCATCCGACATCTGGTACTCCAACTCTTACATATTTCCCTTTCAAAGGACGATATTCTTCAAAATCACTTTTCAGTTTCAAATACTTTCAAGATTCCAGTCAACGGAAGTAACATTGAGTTGCCACACCTATACTGGATTTCAAAACTTCATAAAATCCTTTCAAAGATACATTGCAGGGTTCAGTAAATATTCTACCAAGCTTTACTTCTCACAAAAATTTTAAATGCTTAAAGGAAAAACCCACAGTACTGTGCTTCAACATATTTCAGAAGTGGTGTATATTAAATTTAGATTCTCAATTACTTCAAAGAAATTTTAGAAAATTTGAATTGAGATTTTTTTCCTAAATCAATAGCATCAAAACATATGACTTTCCAAAACTTTGTACAACCGTTCCTCAATATATGAAAAAAAAAACACCAAGTTTTCAGACACCATAGACAACTGCTTCTTCAATTATACTAAAAAAGCTCTTAATTCTAAATCTTGTGATTGGACATCAACAAAATTGTTAAAAGTCACTCTGATTATACACAAAAGTACTCTGAAGTTTATCTCTAAAACATATACTGGAGTTTCTAATTGGCAACATCTATGAAGTCTGGAGACCAGTCATTTGAATTTCAAATGGTCACAAATTCTGCTCCTGTACTAGAAGACTTGTTTTTTTTCATTCTTATGAAGCCAAATTCACCCAAAACAGTCCAAATGTGAAGAAAACTCTTGCTGTGGCCTTCGATTCAAATATTAGATACTAGTATGTCGATCAATGAACATTTGCTATTTCCATTCAAATGTTAATTAATCATATCTCTTTGAACTCGAAATATTTATTAAACAAACTTCAGAGAGTCTGCCACATCTGTTTCACATTTGAACGTTTTACTAGAGAGAAACATTGATAGCAAAATAACGACTAAATTTATTGATAAACATGTAGAATTCAACTTTTCTCTAGTCAGCTTTCCGTATGTAGCAATATAACTTTATTACATGCATGTTTATATCTCTTATGTGATTCAATTCACAAGAGAATGTTCCCATTTACAACCCATTTAAAGCCAACATTTCGCAAATACTATGGTTGATGGAATGATGTGTACAACTTGTTATTGCGAATGCACAGTGATGTTAATGCAAATCATTAGGCCATTATATTTTCATACTGATTTGTCAACAGCTAGATTACTCCGTTTAATCGCTCAAGACAGCGCTCATGGTGGGTGTCACCGGCAGACAGGGAATGCTTACTCCTCCATGGCATCTGATCTCTCACGTCTGATGTTTCATAGGTCTTATTTTGCTCCGCTATATTTTTTCTTTTTAATTGAATGTTTGAGTCCGAATACTGTTCGTTATCTTTTTATTTCAATGTAGTAAAAAACTCCACCATCACTTCCATATGGCATTAACGTCTCCTAACGAATCGACACAAAAGAGGAAGCTTCGAGTACAATCAAAGTTTATACCAAGGCAGGCTTTCAACAATTAAATTAGTGTTATAGGACTTTCAGAAGTCTCTTTTTAACTCAGCATTTCGTAAATTTTATTGTTGTTATAATGACATTTGCAAATACAATCTATCGTTGATTAAATGTTTAACTGTTTGTTTGTTTGTTTGTTTTTTTTTTTTTGATAATTATTGTTAGACCATTGTTTCAAAACAATTTTGACCATGGATTATTCCGTTTACCTCATTAATACAGATGGCTTACGGCCCGTGTTTCCGGTCAATTTCCTTCTATGCACCTAATATCTGCTTGTTTTGTCCTATTCCTATTCGTATTGTTTATAAGATTTATGAGATTGATTTCTATTACTTATCTTCACCTTTTTCTTTTACAATAACGTTGTGGGTTGTGTTCCAGATCTCTTAATACGGTATCTCTTTCATAGCGGAATGTAGGAAAAATGTCGACATTTCTGAGGGAGATCAAGATATCAAAGTTGTTTGTTTTGAACATATTTCATTGACAATATGTTAAAGGGATTGGACACAAATTCTAAAAACTTAGATAGTCCTCTCCCAAAGTTGCTTTTTCTATTCGTTATAATGTCAGAACTACCTATTCCCTTATTTGAGTATTCCAGGTGTTAGACTTAACAGTGTTTGACATACCGATACCTGACTGTATTGCTTACCTTTCGTGAGTTTGTCATATTTTGGAATAACCTCTTTTGCGAATGTGTCTATGACCTCAATCATCAGTGCTTTTCGCTTCTCATCTTGTATTCCGATTAAGAAGTCACGCAAACGTTCTACTTCAGTCAAATTCCACATGAATTTGTAATTATCGAAGAATCGATGGTGAAAACCCTGAAAAACCCTAAAAACTTCATTTTAGAATAATGATTAATTTTCAAAATTCCATATTTTTATCAATATGGAACTCAACATAAACTAGTATCCAATCTATCTCACTTCTTTTGCAATGAAACAACTCTCACAATAGGAACATAAACTATAACACAAAAAAGTTTTTTTTTCCAATTTTGATATAATTTTATGTGCAATGAAACAATACAGAGAACATTTTGTAAAAAAAAAAAAAAAAAAGGGAGATTGCGAACTAGGCATTCCATATGAGTATTAATGCATACTGAAGAAGATAAATCCAGGGGGGATTTTTTGTAGATAAATATATTTCCATTTACCTCTAGGGAAGTGTGCAGTTTTCCAAGTGATTTTCCAATGTTATATAGACTTCTTGGCAATGTTGGTTTTTCAAGGAAGATAACTCCTGGAATGTATGTCAACAGACGGACAAGGTAGAAATGGTAAGGGGTTGAATCTATAGAAAATTATAATAACAATTGTTAGAAAACACAAAACATAACTTCTCTCAGTATTGCTCCTTAGTTAATACCAAAGACACTCATTTTGTTTCCTTTCATTTTTGATATACATGTATATACATGCATGCCACTGACCATGTAGCTTCTAAAATGTAAGACGCTACAGTTTTTGCACGATGTGACTCAAATGGTAGAATGGCCAATGAAGCAATAGCGAGTATATCTAGAAGTGTCTAATCTGCATAAAACTACGAATACCTGTTATGTTTTCTGAATGGTATATTTTCTCCAGTGACATCGTTTCTCCTTTCAAATTTTTCATCACTTTAGGAATTGACACGCCTTTTTTGGCAACATGTTCCATAAGGGCATGCACAGCCTCTACAACAATTAATTAAGTAACATTTTAATGGTACTACTCTGCAATATAAAATATTGTTTGTTTGTATGTTGTTTAACGTCCCTCTCGAGAATTTTTCACTCATATGGAGACGCCACCACTTGCCGGTGGAGAGCTGCAAATTTTGTCCTATACTCGGCACTTAGGGCCATTGAGCAGTGAGGGATCTTTTTCGTGCCAGCACCTATTGCGACACGGGATCTCGGTTTATACGGTCTCATCCGAAGGACCGGTCTCCACGTCCCACAGTGGGATTTGAACCCGCGACGTAAGGATCAACTCCTTACGCCGCGACTCTAGAGCAGACGCTCTTACCACTTAATTAAGCTAAATCAAATTCAATACTTAGGAAAAGATGTTGAAAGAAACAAAAATCACTCATACCAACAAATATAGGATTCTTGGACTGCATTTTGTTAAGAATCTTCAAGACATAACCATCTGGCATAGTATGATCTATGTAGGGGTTTTCTGATTGGCCCGTAACAATCACGTGATAGTTCCTGTCGTCATAACTATCTAATTCTTTGCAGGACTCTACTGTCAGTCCGTACAGAGATTTAACAAGGTGTGGTAGATGTTTCATTGGAACAAATGGCTTGATTGTCTCCCCTGCATTTTGCAGCATATCATTTTCGTCGCTCATTTGGATTGCAGTATGACTTCTGACAAATACATGAAAGTTAAAAAAAAAGAAGAAGAAAAATTAGGATACTATACTCAGATAAATACTTATTAGTTTTCATCGCCTTACCCTCCGCTCGTCTTCTCCTCTTTTCGTAATCGATACATAAGCTACGTCTAACGTGATGAAAACCAAAATAAAGACACCAAAGATATATATACATGTAGTTCAGAGGTTAACACGAGATGCGATGAAGTTATACAGGTATGACCTGGATTTTACTGTTATGGTTTTTATTGACAAAAGTTCGGCAAATGTTGACTGACAAGAATCTACACGACCCTCTGTTAATGTAGACATTTGCTTCGTAATCAAGAAAAGCAGTACATGTTTGAGATATGCATGCAATATTAAAAGGTACATGACGCAGGATTTCAAGTACAGAGGTTGAGAAATAAAAATAAATCCCCTATATTTCGTTATCATTCTTACGTTTTAAGAAACATGATGTGCCTCAAAGTCAAATTTATAAATCAATAACTTGAACATTCAGGTATCTCTGAAGCTGTTATTAGAGACATGAATGAGAAATGGATGAGTAATTTTACTTATTCCCATTAGCAATGTTATTCATAAAAGATGTCAACCATGAAAGGAAATGGAATTGATCAAAAGAATGCATAATTATAGTCCTGAATGCTTCGAAATGGAGGGTTTGAAATTTAAAGTGTTCATTCGTTTATCATGCACTTAATTAAGAAACCCTTGCATTGCACAGCTAGCAAGGTTTGCAATATTGCATTATAAACACTAGAAATCCGCTAATTTTTATTTAACCTTTCTTGTAAATAAACAACGATTATCGAAGTTAAAAGAAAGCCAAGATTTACGATATTTTATCATGTCTCGTACCCCCCCCCCCCCCAATGCCGTGAAGAAATACATAAAAGAAAACTACATAAAAATACCTTTTGGTAAATCGGAAAGCAGCGGTTAAAATGTGTCAACAGTATGCCAAAAATCATATAAACACCCTCCCTTTTGATGTAGGCCCAATATTGATCTTAGAATGCAACTTACAACATTCATCTGCATTAACGCGGATTATAAAGTCTATTTTTAGACGAGGACGAGGTGGGAGTCCATATGTTGTTGACCAAATCACTGATTATTCCACTACCTATGTCGGTTGTCTTTCTTTAGACGCATGTGCTGAACGATATCGGTAGACTATCTGGCTATCTTTCTAACATGTACAACTTTTTTGAATCTCGAGAAGTTTTAAAAATTTTCTATCCACTATTAAAGGTCAAAAAAGGTAAAGATATGAAAAGCTGAAACTTACTTTCTCCAAACGACACAGTTTATGCTATCTCTATCTACTGAATGGGCTTTATAGGGGTCAAAGGCTACGGTACAACAATTCGGCAATAACCCCAGTGCGGTAGTCTAGTATCAATTTACAGTCCCAGCTTAACAAAAGACGTTTAAATTATATACCCAGATGTGTTTCAGGTCTGGTAGCAACATGTTTAAGAGTACATCGATTACTTTTCTAGACATCTACATGGCTTACTAGTACTTATGAATAATGCAGGAATCTCGTTTTTTCCCCGTGCGATTGAAAACTTCTGAAACAAATAAATATGCATGAAATTAATTCACATGATTTGTGAAAGTTTTAGTATTAGATCAAAAAGTTTTGTTTTTCACTTTTTCTGCTGTCGACTTTTGGAGCATTCTTAGCTTTATATTCTTTTAAAACTTTTCAGGCTGTCTAAGTATGTTATGTCATTAATTATTTGTTGAGAGTTTTATTACTATTTTCTAAAATTGATAACAGACACTTCACAGATTTATATTTACTGAAATATTCCACTCACATGATTTAATCAACAATCAGCTGGAATCTTTACATGATTACTCATGGGTTTCAGTCCTGACTTTATAAAAGCGATTATTAACATGATCAGGTCACAATTGGAATTATTTGTAATGAAAAGTAAAAAGAAATTTATCGTAATGATTTTACTTTGTGCGCAATGGTAAATTTTATTTGTGTATTTGCATTTAAGGTAGTCCGATCCTCAGGTTCTGAAAATCAGCTTTTAAGTAATTGAAAATGCTCACAAAAATGCCTCTGATTTCACATACTACCGTGAATTTACCCATGGAATTTCTTCAAAGTTCATCACTATAGTTAATCATATTATATAGGGAAAATTATCAGATCTCAAATATATTTTCAGGAAATGCAAATAAAAACACCAGTTATGCATTTTCTAATTGAACATTGATCAACAAATATAATTTAGGATAGAAAAATATAGGTATCCAGGCATTTGGAGAAAATTGCATCTTTTTTTTTATCCTTGTACAGTATTTTAGTTCTTCTTTTTACTTCAATTTCATATAATACATAGTTTAAAAAGCTTGTGCTATCGTTGCTAGACATCGCATATCACGTCTAATTTCATATCAAGCTAATAAGCAGTGTTATCTAATTAATGTTAGACTAACGAAAATTCGATTTCTCTAAAAATGAATTCATTTTTTTTCTTTTATGGGGTACAAATGTCAACTTTTTTTACAAGACCGTTTCTAAGACTTCAAAGAACCTTGAATAATATTAAGATGCATAAAATGATAATTGTTGCACGAAAATATCTTAATTTCAAGCTTTATTTTGAGACTTTTTAAATAAAATAATAAATTAAGAGTTATCCTTCCTGGCTGAGGATCGGATATCCTTAAGTTCAATGTAAGAAAATGTAACAATTTAACAGGCAGAAGTCCATATATGTTTCCTTTTATCATAATCTATCAATTTTACTCATGAAAAACATTGATTTTGCAAATGATCAATGAAATAGATTGCCGTCATATTTCTTTTATTTGCAGCGTTGCATATTGTGATACTGATGATGATGATTTTAAACAATCTTGATCAGAATGTTAAGATGGCGCAAAAACAATCCTGTAGACACGTTTTAAAGTCATGTTAATATTTTACAAATGAAAAAGGTGAAGATAACGAACATCGATCGAGCTAAAAAAAAATCAACAAACAATAAAAATCTGTGAACAGGGTATAAAACACGGACCCCCGGAAATTCCAGAGGTGGGATCAGGTGCCTAGGAGTAGTAATCATCCCATGTCAATCAGTCATACCCGCCGTGAGCCTAATGTATTGACCAGATAGACGGAATAGTCCGTAGTAAAATTTAGCATAAAACATAGGTCTAACAATTGGTATGAAAAAGGTCAGCCAAATTACGACCCAATGATAGATTACATTTATTAACAAGGTCATTATAACGACCATAGAATTTAAGAAATGCTAACTTTAAACGAGGTAGTTGAAGTCAAGATATCTGCAGTAGCCTGACTCTGCTTAAAAAATGATCGTAGATGATCGTACTCAGCACATGCTCTTGAGTATCGAATACATAAACCCTATAAGCAGTTGATAGAGGGGTATATTTAACACGGTCAACAGAATTAAATGATGGAGGAATAAACTGCTTGTTAGGCGACCCGTTTTTTATATTCCTATGAAGCAGAGTTTATTTAAAAACTTTAACATGAGAAGAAGAAAACTCTTGCTGTGGTCTTCATCTCAACACTTAAATATATCGAGGACGTTTTAACAATTAACAATAGATACTTTGAACTCGAAATAAAAGATACCACAAAGTCTGACACATCTGTTTCATGTTTGGATATTTTACTAGAAAAAAATTGATTGATTGATTGATTGTATGTTGTTTAACGTCCCGTTCGAGAATTTTTCACTCATATAGAGACGTCACCATATACCGGTGAAGGGCTTCAAATTTAGATCTTTACTTGGCACTCAGGGCCATTGAGCTGTGAGGTGAGGATTCTTTATCGTACCAACGCCTACCGTGACAAGGGGCCTCGGTTTTTAAGGTCTCATCCGAAAGACCCGCAACTTTCACTTCAAAGTGCCGAGAACAGTTGTTACCTATTTTTTTTTTTTATCGATTTAGGTCAGTCGCGGCCGTGATTCGAACACACGACCTGCCGACCGTATTAGAAAAAGACGTTAAGGATAAACTAACAACAAAACTTTAATTTATGATAAACATGATGACTTAAACTTTTCTATCGTCAACATTCCTTTTTGTATGCAGCAATATACCACTGTCACACACAGATGGAGTTTATGTCTCCCAGTTGATTCGATACACAAGAGCATGTTCTACGTGCGAATAATTTCTAAAAGGAGGCAAGCCATTGAAATAAGTTGATGAAACAATTTCGTTTAAAAGTAAACATTTTGCAAATTCTATAAATTCTATACCTTGTCAGCAAATACAATCTATTATTAAGTCGAATGTTGATTAACGTTTTACATGCAAATTGTTAGGCCATTATTTTCACACTGAATTGTCTACGGATTTTTCCGTTTGCCCGATCATAACAAGGAGCACACGGCGGTTGTGACATGTCGACAGGGGATGCTTACTCTTACATGGCACCTGATCCCACCTCCGATGTTTTTAGAGCTCCGTGTTTGCTCTGCTCCGAATTTGTATTGTTTCATTGGACTTTTGAGCTTGATAACTGTTTGTTTTCTTCATATTTCAAAATAAAAGACACCATAGAGTCTGCTACTTCTGTTTCTTATTTGGAAGTTTTACTGACTGTAAAGAATAATGGCAAACTAATAATTAAATTGTATTACAAACGAGATGACTACAGCTTTTCCATTGTCAACTTCCCTTATTGATATAGTAACATTCAATATCACATACGTATGGTGTTTTTGTCTTCAACTTATTCGATACACAAGAGTATACAATCAATTTTTGAACCTGATCAATATATAGGGTTTTCACGCCGGGTCCGATCGTGGGGGATCGACAGGGGATGATTCCTTCCCCCCCCCCCCTGGGCACCTGATCCCACCTCTGGTGTTTTCAAGGGTCCGTGTTTTTGCCCTCTTCCGGATTTGTTTTCTTTATTACATACCTTTTAAATTTAGACGTGTTTGATCTAAAACAATG